AATAGGTGTTTATACGTACCAAATAGTACCTACATTTCATATCGCTGTTCTCGCGAAGAATATTTTGTCGAATACGAAATGTGTCGGTTTCGTAGAAAACTGAACCAAAAGAACTGAACGCTTTCAGCAACTGTGTTTTGAAATTAATTTCTTCATGTCACAGAATACAACATACAGCTGTCTCAAATAGAAATAGAAAGTTAAAATCGGTTGTTAGGGTTCTATATAATGTAGTGAAACAGTGAAAATTTTTCGGTTATAAACACTGGGGTTAAAGACGTCATGCATTTAAATTAAAGACGACTCAATTCTATTGAAATAATCCATAGTGAAACGAAACAGAATGCAAGAGCGTCATCATGACTTTTAAACAATTAATCAGATTCCACATTCGCTTGGACACGTGTCTGTCCATCAAAAAGAAATATTACCTTGTTTAAAAAATTAGAATTTCCATTTTTCATCAATGAACAATAGTGAAGTATTTTCTTATTTTTTATTCGTTATACAAGACTTCATCTGGATAATAAATTTTCTCATCTGTGGTTTGAGCAAACAGCATAGTATAAACCAACCTTGAAGGCGTCAGGTAGACCACCGCCGCGCCGTAACTCAATTTCGCGGCGAAGTTAATCCTGACGCGTGTGACGAATCAACAGTGGATCCGTGCGAGATTGTTAGACGCGTCAGGAGAGGAGTGGAGAACCGACGACGACGGTTCACGGACCACCAGCGTGTGTGTGTGCGTTTATTGTCGCGGCCGGAAATAAAAGTAATGCGAACGCATAGCTGCCTATGACATCAGCCGGCCAATCAATCCGTTTTGCATGATGATGCATGAAGCGCATCGGATGAATGCCATGTGAGAATATCGCTGGTATCATCTCGTGGGTGCGGGGACGCCGCGAAACGTGCACCAAAGAGAATACACCGACACGATTATGCGAACATTTTTTTCGACACGCTGCACTGGTTGCAAGCCGCGCTTGAACTGCCGGAATCAGTTTACATGGATGTTACGAGATGGTGACTCCGAACTATAGGCGTTAATTTCAGTAAATCCTCGATGAGTGTTTGAAGATTTCTTGGCAGTGAACATTACATATTTTATAAACTAATGAACATATGCAGTTGAAACAAATATAGGCCTCAGAATTCCAAGCTCTATCACTGTGCCTAACTCAAATGTTAGCGTTACACCTGGGGAACCTTCGAACACTCATCGATGATTTAGTGTTGTTCGAAGAACTTACATGAGAACTTTGGTATCCCGAAAATTTCGATTGTTTTTTTAAACTACGTAGGTTCTTGTGGGACCTCAATAGAAGTATAGGGCAATTATTTATTTTTGCTGGTATTTAGGGCGAAACCACTCCTTAAATGTTGATCTGGATTTTCCTATATATTTTCAAAACTATAGTAATATCAAAAAAACTGTTAGATTGAAAATTTAATGGTTTCTTATGCTGTATAATAGTGTTTAATGACATTGATTATATTAATCAATAGTAACCCTCGTCACAGAACACGATGAATTGAATGAATTTTTCAAGAATCGAGATGAAGCCTTGAAAACCGTTTGTTAAAAATCGCACGAACTTTTTTGTAAACTCAACAGTAATACGTTCTACTAATACTTTTAGGTCGTAGTCTTTTTATTTCTGTGCACGATTAAAAGAAATTCGATTAAACCCAATCACACTTTATTGCAATAAATAAGTTATTCCTTATAAATATAAAATTAATTTTGACAGGTCTATCGAAACATCGTGCATACACCAGATATTTCAAAATATACTAAAAATAGTCCTCCGTATTAAAACTATTCTATCTCACCGTAACCTTTGAAATCCCCTGTATTTTGTCGTTATTACACCCATAAGCTTACTGGCCGTGGAATGGTAGTATTTGCAACATCGGTAGCAGAATTGCAAAATATAGCCTGAAACCAGAATGCGTTGGGATTTCATCGGATCAGTCTATGACCAGTTTTACAGCCCCCGAGCGGTTCTAATTTCGTTGAATTACCTTTATTATTAATACTCGTTCCAACGAATGGCTGCCAACGCTGTCCGACGTGTGCTGTCGAATAAATACTTTGAAACGATCGTGCAACGAATGTTTATCGTCGTTCGTGAAACGAGTTCAACGAGGCCGTGGTAAATTCGGCCCGGGCCGCGAATCGAACGATGATCCACCGGGTGCACCTATGGATCCATTCGTCACGACCTGGGCATTCGGCGTGAGTGCACTTTGCGTTATGCTCGCCGTAACACCGCGTTACGCTTCGTAACCAGGCTTTTCAAGCGTGATGTATCGTCGATACACGCCGATACACGGTGTCGTTGCCATTCGAGCGAGGCAATGATACGAATATCCGATCGTTGAACGCGCACAATGCATTCCGCGGGAGCTTCGAGTGATGAAATGACCGAGAAATATTTTTTTTTTCACTTATAAATGCAATCGAGTTGCGACGGACACAATTCTATTCGAATAATCCATAGTGAAAAGAAGCAGAACGCAAGAGTGACATTGTGACTTTTAATCAGGTTGAACAGCCGTTCCGACAGGTGTCTGTTCATTGTAAAGGAAATACTATTTTTTTTTTAAATTGGAATTTCCATGTTTCATCGATGGAAAATGGCAAAGTACTTTCTTAGTTTTCGGGGAAACGTGTTTGTAATTATATTAGAACTTCCTTATAAAGAATAGGTAATGTGTTGAACACAATGAGTAATTACTATATTCCGTTACTTTTTTGTTTAATTGATAGTTCTTCAGGAATATAATTTTAAATTGAAATTTTAAATTAAAGTAACCGTAAGTGAAAATCTCAGTGACAGCCAGCAAATCTCAAAAATGTTATTCTTCCTAAGAAACTCAATGCTCTAATAATAAAATCGAACTCTTCATAGCACAACCATCTTACAGTGTAGTTGCTAATAACGAAATACAAGCAATTGACGTGACGTTAAAGTTTAAAAAAAATCATCTTTGTGGATTCGTTCTACATTCCAATAATCTGTATTTGGTAGTATCCGACAATTCTGTCGTTCCACTCCACCGAAGTGTATTCCACGACTGCCGTTGGTTCCGTTAGAATTGCCTAGATTCCCACCCGTCTCCACCGGGTCTATTCTCGCGTTGCCCAAGAAAACGCATCGTCAATACGATCTTTTAGGCGGCTCAGCGGCGTTTCTGTACCGTGTTGGACTTTGGTTACCATTTTCTATCTATATTTAGACACGATTCAGGCTTACGTTGATAAACTGGGTCGGATTCCACCCGGTTCCGTAATTCTTGTTATTGCTCCAAAGAAGAGAACACCTTCCGCCTTCATTCCCGGCCGAATCGTTGTCGTTCACCATCGACCAGACGACCCCTACAACGTTCCACCCGATGGTACAACAATGAAACTGAAATTTTCTACGAATCGATCACGAGCGAACAGAGAACTATTTCAATCCGATCTTCGCAAAATGCTCTTTTTTGCCGAAAAGCTGGCCAAAATCAATAACTTCATTGGATTTTTCATAATAGTCGGAATTCTCATGTTTTTGAGGTTGTTGAAATCGAACATCTTGTCAAAAATGCAAAATTTGTAACATTTTATTTTTTTTCGATTTTCATGAAAAATTCAGCATCTCTACGTTTAGCACATCATGTATGTAGTTCAAATATGTTGTTGAAATAATAATAATCCAAATAAGAATTATAAATGTTGTTTGAAATAAAAAAAATTTGTCAATTGGATATCACTCCCGACATGTTGCTTTAAGGCATGAAATGGTCACTGCATGTAGTTCGGTGTATAACGTAACTATTTTCCTTGTGTTATACTAAAATATAATTCTGTTATACTAAGATTTATGGTATCTTCAGAAGGAAAGTAAAAGTTTAAATTTATAGATATGTTGCATTCTTGATGTGCAAAATTTATGTTATAATATGTACTTTAATGGTGAAATAGTGAACATATGATTACTTTAATAATAAATTTTGCCTGATACATTAAACATGCTAGCGTTTTCAAGCCATTAAGGAGCACTAAATTTCGTCAACTTTGATGGCCTATATCTCACTATCCGACCAGTAAATTCTACTATTTCCAGCGACATTTGTTACACTGATAAATATACATTAAATGTGTCATACTAGCAAAAAGCTGCTAAATACATCAAAAAATTTTTTTTGGCCAGCTTTCGGCAAAAAGGGCCACTGTGCGTGGTAGGAATTTCAGCGACGCGAACCTTTTAACCGTGCCGAGGTTTTATTACACAGCCGTCGTTAACAACTGTTTATCGATCGTTCTCCTCAGAATTCACACGGTAAATTCGAATCTACGTTGCACCAAGCCACCGCCCGCGGAGGAATCGAATAAATTTGCATTAACGAGCGCGCCTGTAGGTGGGCAGCCGAGATACCAGATTTAGATGGTCCAATGACAAATTGAAATTGGATGTTTAGGGGGATACACCGTGATTCATCGAACCTCGTCTAGTTTATTTCGCATGAAGAAATACAGAAAAAAGAGAAGAAAAAGGAAGACACGCGGTCGAACACGCATTCCACCGGTTAACGAGCTTGTTCCGCGTTCGTTAAATAAAGTTACTATGTTTCCTAGTGTCCGACAGGTGACGGCCCCCTTGAATCACTGAGACTCGCGTAATCGGATTTCGAAGATAAATGGGAAGGGCCACGAACGAAGAAGCATTTTGTTCAACACGCGTGTAGCTTGTTATAATTCACGGGTGACTTAGCCCCACCCCTCCACGATTCAATTACCTCGTATTGTATCCAGCAAGACGGTTGTCTTGTTAACAATGGTCACCAGATATCTTTTATGAAATTATTATTCACGTGTTGTGTTCGGTATTCGGACCATATTAAATCGAACCGTGACGATGTCTTTTGAACGAACGTGATTTCATTTTTAAAAATATTTTGCCTGACTTGTTTTTGCTTTCTTAATATTCTGTTCTTTTACCAATTTTCAGATGTGGCAGTTAACATTTTGGACGTACTTTCTCCTAATCGCGTTATCCATGGCCCCCGTGCAAAGGGTCGTCGGTTGCTCGTGCATGTTGGAGCATCCCCAGACCAGTTTTTGCAGAGCAGATTACGGTGAGTGTTCGCGTCGATGCGTGGAAAGTGAAGGAATTTTTTTTCATCGAATTCCTCTTCACGCGACATTATCCCGTTTTCTTTTATAGTCGCGGTGGTGAGAGTAAGAAGAGCGAAGCCCGTGAGCGAGCACGAAATGGCCTACAACGTGAAAGTCAATAAAGTCTTCAAGGTTCGTGAGTCTATGGAAATTCATTGGTTTCTTTTTTACCTGCAATCGACGTTGTCTCACGGGATTTTATAGCGACATGTGTTCGACTTCCGATACGAGGAACGCGTTTGGTTTCAGAATGGGCACAACAACATAAATCCTGTCAGTTTCCCGAAACAAGAGTATTTATGGACCTCCCCGTTTGACACGATGTGCGGCGTCCACTTGAATGCCGGGGAAACTTACGTCGTAAGCGGAAGGATCAATAATCATGGACAAGTGCGTGTGTCTCTCTGTGACATACAGATGCGATGGTCCCAGGTGACACCCAGACAACGGAAAGGCTTCAGGAGCCTTTACCATCAAGGCTGTGCTTGCGAGGTAAGCACAAAATTCGGAAATTCACGTCTCTTACGTGATTACAGTCAACCTTTCCCACGACTAGGCTACGAATAATTATGCAAATTCGAATTTTTGTGAACCAACCATTGTATCGTGTAGCTGGCTCTAAGATATTCAGAAACGGTTCGCCGCCTACAACGGGACTATCATAGTTCGACACATCTGGCTATTCTCGACCACCTCGATTTATACTATTTGTTCGATAGCTATTGAATCATCTATAATAGACTTGTCATGGACAGATGCTTGATCCTCATATTCATATTTAAAATGTTCTACCTATAGAACCTATTCAATCTGTTTTATTGAATCTCCCTCGTCTTCGTAAATATTGATTTCCTCTTGTGAAGCAAATGCAGAGCATAAAACGATGTTTCAAACCACGTCGAAGCAAATGTCTCCCTATTCCTGGTTACTTCCACTGGGGTTCGTGATCGCTGTCATTGACAGTGGTCTGGTTATTTATGTCAAACAGTAACTTTACACAAACCCATACAGTTGAAATGCAACCGCATCAATGTCAACGATAGTAGGAAGTAGAATTGGTGTGTCGGGAACAGACTCAATAACCGGAGGTTGTTCAAAGACGCTTTCTGTTCTATTTTCAATCTGCTCGAAGTGTCGGAAACATATTCCGTTCCTCCCTTCTCCTTCTCTCATCTTTCAACCATTCAAGTTGATTTTTCGCTGAAGTCCATTCCCACGAGAACCAATGGCACTAAGAATTTTATTCCACTCATCCGATCGACTTACGCATGAAAAATTATCACCTTTCCGACAGATGTTTCCGTGGTACCTAACACGTGTTCCATCCTCGGCCGGACGATTTTTACAGCCGTTCCCTGTATCGAGCCTCTGCTCTTCGTAAAAACGACATTCCAAATGTTTTTCTGTGTACGCCAGGTCCATTATACGCCTTGGTGGCAGAAAGGAGAGATTCTGGCGAGCGTCGGAAGGAAGCTATGTTTATGGGAGAGCGAACCAGGTCCCCAGGATTGCCAAGAAAAATACGGGATATGCATGCCAGAACGAGGTGGATGTTCTTGGAGTCCTTCGGTACCTTACAAAAACTGCATCAAGGAGCACCAACGGAAACGCGAGCAGCAGAGGCTGAAGGAGCCATAAAATACAATGATGAAATTGACAATGAGCCTTGGTTCTACAGTTACCGATATATCACGCTGGCGGAAATAACAGAGAAACAACAACAACACACACACACACACACGCACACGCTCTCAAGATAAACCTTTACGCGATAACTTGTTGTCAAGTGGATTCGATGTATGTAATTTATTCCATAACGTTAGGCTTTAGTTTGCCGATTAACCGGCGTTCCCATCCTTTCGCAACACCGGGTTACGTTTCTATTTATTCCCGCGTTTTACCAAAAGTATTAATTGGAATGGTTGTGTCAGCATGTACAAAAGCGCCGTTCATCGATTCGACACGTTGGGATCGCACATCTCGTTGGTAGACTGGCTGCTACCGCTGGAAAGCCTTAATGCAATACAATTTGATGGCAAAACGACTTTGCAACCGTTTGCATTTCCACGATAAATTTCTAATTGTCTCGAGTTCTCACTGTTGAGACTTTAGGATGTGAGCTGTGGGTCCTATGTGGAATTAACTTCACAACGTTTCGCAAGCATTACTAAGTTAGCTTCATTGGGAGATTGAACGATACACACTAAAAAATTGTTCAGCGGACCACGTATAATAGTCTTTGATTAGTGAACAATGAACCGTGATAAGGGCAGGATTTACTTCAACCATTTTACTGTGGTTGGCGCCCACAGATGTTCTGACAATTTGCTCGTAGCGTACAGTTAGTGTCTGCAGGTCCTACACAGAAAATGTTTAATGGTCGGACACTGATGGTGTAGTGCTCTTAACAACGGCTGCAACAAAGACCTTATCTTTTGTGTGATTTATAAGAACATATTGTTACAATTACTGAATCGTTATCGCTAATGGAAAAAAGTTTTCCCATTGACAGCGTCTATCACAGGTAGATATCCGCCGTCTGCTACGCACGGTGTACATTTGAATCTGCCGCAGCGAAAGGGTTAATAGTGGAACACCACAATGCACGCATCATCATCAGTGGACTCTCTGATGTAAGCTCGAGCTGCAATGCTTGTGAAACGTTAGGAAATTACTTCCATAAGGGCACACGGATTACATCAAAAAGCCTCAACAGCGAGTAGCTGTATGATGCCGGGTCGTGAAAGCCTGAAATCCGTAATTGTCTCGAAGTTCGTGGCGTCGTGTTTAATTAGACGACGTTCATCCGTTCGATGGAAACGCTTCGAAAGGACGCTTTCAATATTCAGATAATCGGGGACAAGAGGCGATGTCGGTTAATATTCAATTTACTCGAGTCCGTGAGGAGTTTATTCGTGAAAGAGGCTAGTCGTTAAATATCCTCGATGAATCTTTCAGTTTTCCATTGAAGTCGACGCTGCACAACCCCGTTTCCTTTTAATCGTTCGTTTAATTAAACAATTCGTCGAGATCGAGCTGCGTTTGAGAACGAACCCCCGAGCCGTGTAAAAGTTGAAACAGCGTGACGAGCATTTTCAACCATGGATTGGCTATACTTTAGTTTGTACATATAGGCCGTTAATGTATATTATGCATTTTATAAATTATTCTCTTTCTTGTTTCGTTGTGCATAGCCTTGTCTTATGCGTATAAGAAATCGCTGGAAGGTATTTAATTTGTTTTTTTTTTATTAAAGTATCGCATAGATCTCTGAATACTGGAACGATGTCACGTTAAATGCACGCATATCTTGATAATGTTCAATGGCTTTGCGATGTGAGAGAAAGTTTTTCTTTTCCACGAAATTGCGTCTCTTGTACAAAAAAGGCAACGTTGTCTCCATTATTCGGAGAACATGCGCGTACGTCAAGTGTTCGTATTAGAAACTTATTCGATTAAGTTCGCTATTTTTAAACTGTATCCGAGCGTGATTATCGTTTCTCGGCAGCATATGCGACGAGAAACGGAAACCCCGGACGTGGGTAGAAATTTAGTACAAAATGCTAAACGCGCAACACGAAGGGAAGTTAAGTCGGCATTTCCTAGCACGAGAGCGTACGTTAAGTCGAAGAAACGATCTATGTTAGTTTAGTTGTTCCATTTGATAACTTTTGTAAGTATTATATATTACTTAAACGATGAGAAATAAACGAGAGGGATGCGTATTGCACGTAAAGCACGTTCACTCACCATTTCGCGATGATTCGGGTAGTATGTCTGCTCGATCAGGGGGAAGTTGTCCTTTCCCAGACGACGTTGAAGACCCAGCAGATGCGCAAACACCCAAGGCTTGTCCTATGAAACGAACATCGATTAAATAAGACCATCTATCGGCGTGTATTTCTACATTTATTTCGATAATAGTTCTCGAAGGAAGGTTTATGTCGTCAAGATTCCAGGCTTTGGTAGAAGTTCGATCAATGAAAAAAGAAAAAAGGTTAACAATGAATATAGTTTCAATCAGTTATACAATTTCTTCAGTAGTACGCAACGCAAACTGGAAAACCTTGTATTCTTTAATCATCAAAAGAAGATGTAAAGTAGGTATTATGAGAAAGAAACTGACGGACATTCAACACGTTCGTATTATATTAACTGCATGAAACCATTAACTTTCTCGGAATACAACTGTTTTAATAATCGATGCAGAGGGTGACGTCAATGAAGTACACTTAAAATAGATTATAATGAGCAATCTTACTTCTAATAGAATAGAAGTTTCTATTTTTATGCGGTATTGTAGGTCGACAATTGTGTGGCATTTCCTATTTATAATTATACATAGAGTATCATGTAATTGGTGGTACAACCAAGATGGGAGTTAATTGTACGTGAAAAAATAAGCAGAGAATATAAAATAAAATTTTTTATTTCGATACTTCGATTTTGAAAAAAACGACTATGGAAATCTGGTGGATACACGGTGTAATTGAATAGGACTTTGCTAATGCGTCTGTTCATTGAAATCCGTTTCTACTTACTACCGTGAATACACGCGTTGCAGATTAATTTTCTAAGTTAATTTTCCCGAAAACGAAGTCTCAAATAAAAAAATGTTATTTTATATTTCTCTATATATTCTATATTATTCTATATCTATGACATCCTGTACAGTAAATCCTCGATGAGTGTTCGAAGGCTACTCGGCACTGAACATTAAATACTTCAAAAACTAATGGCCATATGCGGTTGAAATAAATATAATTGGCTTCATAATTCCAAGCTCTATGACCGTGGTAAACTTCATTAAAAAGTCAACGTTACATCTTGGGACCTCTCCTTGTCAGTTACGAGGAGCCTTCGACCACACGTCAAGGATTTACTTTATATTGGGTTCAGTTACAGTTAGTAATACAATCAACACTCACCTGGAAGTTGTAAATCGCAGTGAGGTTGTTAATACTGGGGACTCCTCCGTACATCAATCCGAGAAGAAGATTCTTATAGTCCTCTCCCGCGTCCCTTAAGTTCTGTCGTATCAGAACGAAATCCGGCTTGAAGGATCTGTCGATAAAAGTTTGTCGGTTTATATACATTTTGGACGACGAATGACAATGGGATACACAAGAGGTCTTCTTACCTGATAACTTTCGTCCCGTTACGATAAACCGCCATGGACACCATAGTGCCAGCCTCGCTCGCTGTTAACGATAATTCACGAAACTCCGCCTGTTCCACGCGGATCTCGTAATCGCCGTGGAGTCTACGGCCACGGAAGTACTTGCTCCAATCGGTGTTCTGATCGTCGATCACCAGAAGAGTGAAACATCGGTCCTTGTTGTATGACGGGCCTCTCGTTGCCCCGGACACAGCTGCGCCCAGAATCGATGCACCCTGAACAGTTAACGATTTAAAAATGAATAACATCATCGACATATATGCTTTTTCTATGTATATGCAAGGATCATCAATGTAGACTTCAAATACGTGTTTATTTTCTGGATTCATTGTAAACTGAGTTTTGTTTACGATATGGATTACTTAGACTGAACAGATTCTAGCTTGCAGGCTGCATTAGAATATCACGAAAATTTTATATCTACGTACAGATTCTCTCAATTCTTTTCACAATTCTTTCAGAAATATTCATAAACCCGAGTTGACCCTAAATACCAAGGTACAAATATTTCACTCAGAAGACACAATGAATAAAAGTCTCCTAATGATTGATATTCATTCCTAACAAGTGTTTAGAATGATAATTCAAAGTAGTTATGTTACTTCAGCCTCTTAGAACGCTGACTGGAAACAAGAAATTTCTATTCTATTCCCATTATCGCGAATTGGTCTAAGAAGCAGTGAATGTACGCAGACACATCCTCAATTTACCCGTAATAATTCAACGATTCGAAAAAATATATCGTTCGTTCAATTGCGATTGAAGTAAATAACAACAAGGAATCGGTAAAATTTCCGTTAACACACCTGGTCACGTGCAGCGCCGGTCAAGCTCTGAACCCTTTGGAGCAAACTTTCGCGGGTCTTCGCCGGCGAAGACGGAGCGCTGGTGGTTCTGGATCCGGGCCTCAGGTTGAGGCTCAGATCGCCGCCGACGGGTTGCGGTGGTACAGATGGCGGTGCTCCAGGCACCGGTGGCTGACTGGCTGGTGGTACAGTAGTCGGCTGCGACTGCAGCGGCCGTTCCGACGCCGTTTGATACGGTTGGGTCGAATCCCTGGCCACGGGGGCCAGCCCGGGGTCTGCGTTTGGTTCATCGTCGATCTCCGAGCTCAAATCCCCTGACGAGAACCTGGAAGACAAACTACGGTGGTGGTCGTTCTAGTGAGAATCGGTCGGTAGGTTCGGTGCCCCTAATTTCACACTGTTTCAAAGTGTTAACGCTCGACTTTCACGGACGTTAAATGCACATCGAGTACAGCCAGTGCTCAGGACGTATGATGGCGTGGCGTTGCGTCGGCGATGATGGACGATTGCTGTGTACACCTGGCTTGCATGCGTGACGGGTGACGACACATTCGGTTCTGATGCGTGGAGCACACTCGCGCGCGGGTCTGTGATGATGGACGTGTCGCGTTGCGGTGTCACGCGTGAAATGCGGATTCACGATCGCTTGTGCTTCGTTGAAGTAGCAACGACACCTTCACTGGAGTGACTTTGGTGTGGAGGGCTGCCGACATACACTGCTGGCCGCGTGTTTCGAATCACTTGCCAATTGTCTGGTCGAAATTAATATTTTCAGCGATGGTTGAATGTATCGAATTGATTCGAATTAGTCGGTTCGTATAAGTAATTTAGAATAATATTTCTGTTATAGCGATGGTGTTAGAGATTTATGGTATTAGTAGGTCAATTTCTAATGAAGGTAGCTAGGAATGTTGATTGGACAGAGTTCATTCTCCAAGAAGCTGTGCCTGGCACCCAAATATTCAAATAGAAGCATGGTAGATCGATTCAACTCCCTTTTTAAAGATATTAGTTAACTTTTCCCCATAAGTTAACTTTTTCCCATTAATTTGAAAATTTACAACGTTCCTAAGTTTTTGACCCGCAGTGTATGTTACTTCATAGTTTGTCCGATAATTCAGAACGAAGGCACTTGAAAGCATCTGGTAAGCTTGCGAAATTGAATACTGAATTAAATGCTATGAAACGACACCTGCGCATAATGGGATTGTGTTCGTGCTTTATTAAAATTCGTAACCACATCAATATTAAAAATATCGAGCTTCAGGCGGAGTTTGCGCGATGTCGAAAGCGAGAAGAATATTCAAACAATTGCATGCAGGCACCTTTATTTATCCAATTATCAGGCGAATCTTTTATTCTTCGGTTTACTGAAGTTTAATTAAAACGCGATATCTTAATTGAACGATGCTGTCAATTAAACTTATCAGCCATCTACTCGCCGATCATGATATTCGAATAATACCGTTATTTATAGATCAACAGATGAATCAGATAGCCGCCTCAGTTAATTGAACGAGCAATTTATCGACCTGTATATTACATTGCACCACGGGTCACGATATAAATGTACATTAAGTCAGCTTTGTATCAAAGTAAACGTCCGTTATTTTAGGATGCCATTATATTTCACTATCTTCGGACTTGATGAAGAAGGTACAGATAAGAATCTATACAACCTTCCTATCTCATTCTCCATTACCGTATCCTTCATCTCATAATTTCCAATTAATTTTTAATGAAATTAACCTTTTAAGTATCAAGAACTGAGGTGTTCCACTGTACAGAAATGAGGAAATTCATTTTCTAGTTTCGAATAACGAATAAAAGGTAAAAAAGTAATTGGTTATTTTGAATCGACTAAACGTGGGAATTCAATTTTTATAATAAAATGGTACTTCTTTTCGAATGAATAGACATTAAACACTGTTACTTTTCATTATGTACTATTCGAATAAAATTATGCCCAACTCTGCCCCACTATACATACAAAAATACCTTTAGCAATATATTAAAAATCATATTTTACTCAGAATACCATTAGAAAACTAAGACTTCTTATATATCGAAGAATCTATAATTCCTTCCAAATTATTTCTTCCTAAAGTTTCAAAAGACATCAAAATCATATCGACACGATACTAAAAAAAAAAAAAATATTACTAGTCCTCTTATTAGCATAATCTACAAATTTTTCCAAGTTTCATTTCCCCACGAAAATTGGCACAACGCAAACAGCATTTCAAGCTCGAAAACCACGGGGCAATAAAACAGTACCCCTTAATACGACGTTTGTACAACGATTATACCCCAAGATTTACGAACTACCGACGTAAGAATTCTCGAGATACCACGAAAGATACAGATCGCTCATGGAAAGGTATTCGTATCACGGCGATCTTACACGCATCACTTCCGAATTCCGCCGGTGCCTTTCGCCCTGCTAGAGGTGTGTACGTTCCTTGGATTCCATCGAGCAGCGAAAGAGGAGCGTGTGGTGTGTGTCTGTGTCGAGCATGCAAAGTTTCGTGTGTCCGTGCAACGACGACGGCAACTCACCTCCGTTTCAGGTAGTTAACATTTGAGGTGAAGGACTGCCGAAAGCTGGAGAATGAAATGTTGCCGGGTGAAGGAGCTGTACCACAGTATTTGGCGCAACCGCCGCGGCCGGTAATCTTGCTGGTTGACGCAGACTTCGTCTTCCAGACGCGGAGCCGCCGATTTCTTCGATCTCGTAACCCCGCGACGACTCGCGGACACGACGATTTTCCTGATCCTTCGGCCCTCGCCAAACGGGTGTCCTGACGATCGTTATTTTTTTTTTCGGAGGCGGATCTCGACTCGAGTGTCACCGCCTTGCCGTTCTACCCGTGTCGATCAACCGAATACGGTGTTGCGTCTCTTGTCGTGTTGCGGTTGAAACTTCAACGTAAGGTAATCCGAAAGGAAAGGATGAAATAAGAGAGGTGAGGAAGGAGAAACTAAACAATCCAAGTTGAAATCTGCAATGCGGAAAGAACGAACGTTTGTTAATTGGCGTAGGGATAATTGTGATCTCGTTGACACGTTGACTGCCACGTTGGTCACCAGTGACCGGAGTGCTTTAAATATTTTGAATAAGTAAAATAAAATGAATATCGTCAACGAACAAAATTTTGAACATCATAGCTGACTAGACAATATTATGAGATAAAAAAATCTACTATTCAACATTACAAAAGTTAAGTACGGTGTATTGTATTAAAACATCTTAAGCATAAATGAGGCTGGCCATTGCAATCTCTGTAGGACGTATACGGTGACTTTTTCTGTCCAATTTTTAGGACTTTTCTAACCATGATTCACAACGATTTTTTTATACCTTCTTACGACTCACTAACTAATGAGGATGCTTTTGTCGACTTAAATGAAGAGTTGTTTATTACGATTGCCACAATACTTGGCAAGGTGTGTACCATATCGTGTAAATGTCGTAGATATTCATTTTCCTATACTTGTAAGAAAATATTCGAAAACAGTTGTGAAGAGTAACTGAGTGCACCAACAGGTCACGGTGGCCACCCGTGACCACCAACAATCACTATGGATAAGAACATGATCGTACGTAACCATATTCCTTATTATTTTGTCGTTATATCTTTACAAAAATAAAAATTCTCCTGTGGCCCAATGAGAGCATAGTCTAAATCTGGCGTGGCAGTCAACGTGTTAACCGAGCAATTTCTCGGTGAAAAGGTGAAATTCAGCGACCTTAATAACTGTTCTATTCTAATCATATAATCCGAGATTTTTTCGCCTGAAGATTTTTTATGTAACAAAGACTTCCCTTCGTAATAAATTTTCCTAGTCTGATGTTTTAATGGAAGTAATACTGTCGTCAAAGCAGAAATGATTTTTGAACTCTACAGCTCTAAAATTATCAGTTTAAGTTTAAAAAAAAAGAAGAATTCTGTACTGTATATTACTTCAACAAGTATTCTTCCTTAAATGTATGATTTATTTGAATATGTACGATTCGTTAATATTCAATGAGAAATGTATCACGAGTTTCACTGAAATGTTAATATGTCAAGAGCGAAGCAACATCCAAGCATAATTAATTTGTGATCTAGTTAGGAAGTTTCGAAGCTTAATTAATATTAATTGAGAAATTCCTCTACTGATTAAGTATCTTACATTCTCATATATCATGCATGCTCACGATTTCAAAACTGCCTGATTAAATCTCCGTTCCACTTAAATATTCCAACCGACATTTGGTCGTATCAAAACACGGAAACACGAATAGAAATATTAATTAGGGACCATGTTTTCATGCTGTCCGAAAATATTCTCTTTATTGCTGTACCTTATTCCCCATTCAACCGATGAAAGATAGGAGCAAACATCTTTCATAAGAGATACTCCCCGGGTGCTCGTGAGAAAAAATGTCCAAGCAAATCCTTTATGCGCCCGGAGATGAAGACCTCTCGCGGAAATTTAGCACGGGGCAAAAGTAGAGCTTGGTGCCCCGCTGATCGATAACGGCGCAGCGTGGCTTTGCACGCCGGAGGATCTTCGTAGCTACCTGTGTTTTTCTTCACCGTCGTTGAACCCAGCGATTCCAACCCGGGACCGATTATTGGATTACGATAAAGGCGAACGATAACGAGTTATTGACTGTCGGTCTCGGAGGGCACCGGGAAACGTACTAATCACTTCCGGGAGCGAACGAAGGGCGAACCACTGGTTTCAATGCCCAAGGCAATACCGTTTCGGAATTCTAGAGAATTAGTGTCGAAACGTACCGTAAAACACGACACTCTCTGCTTCGTAGCCGGTCAGAAGGTTACCAAGTAAAAAGAAGTTGAAGAATCGAAAAGTTAAACACGGAAAAAACTGAGAAAAGTTCTACGCGCAGGCCGAGAAAAGTTCAAGATTTCTTCGAAATTGGAATTTCTCTCCTCGTATCATCTCGGAAAGTATTTTCCTAGCGGGGAACCTGTTAAAGTTTAAATTAACGCGGTTCCACGGTGCACGATACACCTTGGTGAACTGTCTGTATTCAATTAATTTCAGGGAACCGAACTCAATTGAATTTCAAATGAGTTTCCATGAGTTTCAACCTCCGATAGAATTTCCTCGCGTTTTTCCCCCTGTGCTTCGCACTTCCTACGATGTTATGAAGTGAGCTCTTCTCTCTTTGTACAATCTTATTCATAGAGTATACTTTACATGGATTCTGAAGCGAAACTCGATATCGATCGATTGGTTGAGCCCGATGGTTATTTCTAATTTTAATGAGAACGATGCTGCTGCGAACATACTGTATAGTCGAGATGGTTGAATCAGTACTGATTTCTACATCGATCAATTTTGCGACACACCCTCTTCTTTAAACATTAAGTACTTGGGATTCCATAGATACCAGCGAGTTTCATTCAAATTCATTCAAGTCCCGTTTTTAGTATCCCCTATTTTTGCTTCTGTGTGACTATTATTTTTATTTAATGTAAAAAATAATTCTTATACGCTTTAGTTGTTCATCAACATTCCTAAGGGGGGTATATTATTCACGTTTTCTTTAGGGGGTTCGGCTTAGACCCTAGTAATAATCGATGACGGAAGAGTCCCTAGGTGTTAGGAAAGGGCAGGCGCATTGACCGCCCAAAGCTGCGCGTACAGAAACGATATATGCACGTAACAGTTAACATCGCGCCAGAATGGAAATACTTACCGTGAATCGTTGAAACGCAAATAACTATGATATTTAAGTGTTGGAAACGAATGCTGTTACCCTGACCAATCAATGTATTATTTAATACCAAAATACTACGCACTTTTAACTACGTTCCCCGTTAATTTCTAGTTCACTTTTTTAAATCTATTATTTATTCTAGCACTATTGTTGTAATTCCTATACAGACGATATCAAACACTATGATCTCAGGAGGGTTGTACGGAACTGTGCAGCATATATCACCAAAAAATTTCCATTTCTGCACATTTACACGGATGCAACAAGAATTCTAAGTGACAGATAATTAAAGATTGCAACGTCGATATCCTCACGTGAAAATGACACGCGAACACGCGTGAACTATCACTCGTCGTCGGACACAAGTGTGCGGCACGAGCCTAGTGCCCCGTCTCCATCGATCAACATAGTGTCACCACCATTCGGTACTCCCGCGTAAATTCCAGCCGAATAGAAACCAGAATTACAAAGCACCACTGAAAGGAAAGTGGATCACAATTGACAGCGTACAACATCATACTACCAAGAAGCCCACTTCTCTCATAAATCTCGCCAAGAATTACACATCACAAGCTCCTTATCTTTATTGAATTAAACCCAAAGGTGAATCGGAAGTCAATCTAAGCCAAAACGCAAGGGATCCCTTTCAACGGAAACTCAATTCCCGATCACATTCCCTCAGTGATCGTTCCGGCTAACCCTGATCTCGGGACCAGAAGTCGAACCGCAAAGGTACCAAAGGGGGCACCCCGTTCTACCACGTACGAAAAATCGGTCGAGCTTCAAAGAATCCAAAAGCTTCGTGTCCAATCTAATCAAACAATCCACGATCCGTTCAGTAACTTTCAAACCCTCTAGTTCCATCCACAAATCTATACGTTAAATACACTTAGATAGCCGGATCTGAGAAACTGGGTACTCACCTGTGTCGCGTGCGTGTACTACCCACTAGTTTGCCGGTGAAGCAGTGAGCCACAATCGAGGATCGCGAGGGTGTTACCCGGAGGGTTAGCCGGTCGATAGGTCCGCGCGTGCGTACCGTTTTATCATCCCCCTCCCCCGTTTCGCCGGCCGAGCTGAACGCGACACAACGGGGGAAAGAAAAGGGACGAGCCCCTGTGTTTCCCCGATACGCCTGGTCCCGGCCCGTGTTTGTACAGGGCGACGTCGCTCGATCCGCGTCAAACACGCTCTCTACCTGCTGGCCGAGTGAAGATGAAACGTCAGGCTACACGGTACAACGTAATTGTGCCCTGAATCGAGCCGGAGATCCCGTTGTTTTAACTCAGACCCTAGCGTGAAGCGGTCTCTTATCCAAAAATAAGGGTCGTATGTCGGTCTGGCTGGTCCTTGGGTGTATCTACTCTATTTTCTACGGTTCCAGCTTCCTACTTCCCGACGATAGAACGTGATAATTACGATGCACGGCCGTTGTTTTTCGCACTAGGACCTGGTTGTCGGTTAGACCACTCGACAAGGTACAGACTCGAGCGTGGTATATACGAAGGAAATTAATGCAGCAACCCAGATATTTTCATACGACTCTCCTTCGGCGTCGCACTTGCCGAGCTTCCCTCTGTGTCTATGGAAATCGTGCTTTGAAATCTTTCGCGGAGGCAGAGTTTTCTATTGTGTCCGAAAACTGTGATGGTCTTTCATGCGCGCATCGTCGGTCGAGAGTGCCGCCGGTATGGAACCGCGTTGTTCCACGGTGAAATAAAATTTTCTTTGTTTCAGCCTGCTACCGAGAACGAGCCTTTCAGCATTAAATCCCTTTCGGGTACAATAGGATTAATATTTTATAACGATTAATGCTTTTCTTTCGCGTGTTGTTGCTTTCAGCGTAAGATGGTTCTTCTTTTTCTGCTGGGGAACTGAAAGTGGTAGAGGTGTGTATTTTTTTTTATCACGGGGAAATGGGTCAACAATGTTTTTCCAGGACGGGTACACTCGCAGGACGTACGTGCACGGCGGATTTTCATTAGGATTGTTCTTTCCCAGGATCTCGAGTCGGAAGGTGTGTTTCCCCTGGTTACGTAAGAATAATGCGATTCACCGCCGACTCTTCTAATCCGCGTGCTCTTTTTATTTTTTTTTCTCTCCTTGTGATGATACTTTCCCAGGAGGGTCATTCAATGAACACTCCCCGGTCGACTCGACGCAGTGAAACTCGGATGAGAAGAGAAATTAGTCTGGTTTTGGAAGAATTTCAAGTCGCATATTGATGTGACATTGATTTTGGACGTGTTAAATACATGATCTTCCATAAATCTGTCATCAGGTACCGAAGAATAAGAATATATGTGAATTTATAAGTACAATTGTAAGAAAAACTCAGATTTTTATGGTGTTATTGTACGCTTATTGGAAAAATTCCAGCATCCGGCATTTAAGTTATTCTTGATTAAGACATCGATGCATCATGATCTTGAATGGTTTGCACGTCATCCATGAATGATCTTATATGCTTTCTATTGTCTTCAATATCCGCCTTTGTCTGCATTACGACAACTTAAGAGACACCGGGGGACAATACCTCCGCAAGCGTCACGACTATCGACTGTTCTGTAATTCCGCAATCTTCGTTCAATCAATATCCATTCAATCGTTTGTACCTTGTGACTATACAAGTGTTGCCAATGTGTATAACCTTCGTCGGTATTTAAAATATTTACATTTGCTGCTACATTTACAAAACGAAACATACAATGAAACAAAAATTTATATGAAGAATAACGACCAAAGCCGCTAAACATGAATTTAATTCCTTTTCAAATAAACGTTCATAATTTATCAATTAAGTTACAAAAGTATCTGACACAGTCACCGCGAAATTATGAAAATTTCAGCTGTAACACTTTGACTACCACGGCACGCAAATATACCTGCACGTACACTGCAAAGAGGCTAGATTATTTAAATACCATTACACCATTTTCCCGTAAAATTAATATCGAAATATAATTCCAATCAAAACCAACAGTTTGTATTAACTAAACGCCTATACATATGTTCTGCGATTTATGTGTTAAAAGTGTGTCTGGCTACGCACGGCCTTTTTCACTGTGGCAGTCAACGTTTTAAAGCGGATGAACCATTTTTCGAGTCAATATCTACACCAATCCGCATAAAACAATCCTTTCCAATTTCTCGATTCAGAATCCCTACCTATTATATATTCTCCTCCACCTCGGTTCAATATTCACTAGAAAAGAACGTATCCAAGCAAACATTTTCTCAGAATTCTTCCAAACGAGAAATCCGTGGAAGCATACGAATTAAGGTCACCGCCTAGCGGAGCGCATTTCTGAAACCACTTGGAGAAACGTTCCGGAAGGTTCTGAAGTCTCCTAGACCCGTCGACAGAGTAATTCTCTTCCTCACCGACGTACGTCGTGAACGGTGCTGTCCTCGGGCATGAACCACGGGAACCACATCGAACGCATCGTTGGGTTTCGGAGACCTGAATGCGTGGATCGCATACAACATCGGATGAAAAGGGAATGGCCGCCGTGGCCACGATCTATCCCCACCAAAAACGCTGAACACCTGAGCGTCCCTGGGGGCAGCTCAGGAGGAACAGTCATTATTGCGCCAGTATAACATTCGCTTCCAGTACTCTTGAACGAACGATCGTGTATTCGAGGCGTAGCCCCACGAGACTGAACGAAGCGGAGAAACGGAGAACGACCTTCGTTGCATCGGAAACCCGCGTGGCCGCCTCGTAACGGCCTGCCAGTCCGTCGCGTACGTACCGGGCGTCAGCGCGTGTATAATAACGATGCTACTATTCTCGTTAAATAACGAAAATGTGACGTGAGACCGACGGTTAAAGAGAGGACCCTTGGGCAAGAACCGTGACACGTTTTCGCAAATCGGGCCCCGTTCAGTGTGGCACGCGCCCGCGGCGTCCGCCAAAATGTCAGTGGGAAGGACCAATTTTCACGCGTTCACCAGTGCGCTTGTGTCGGTACTGTGCCTGTCCCTGGTGGCGCTCCGTGTCGGCCAGGTAAGTCCGCTGATACACGCTTGTCCACGAAATTCTGCGTTTCGGTGCACGGCTACACGCTCCGCGTGGTCTATACGGTGGATACGCTTCGCGGTGATTTCACCGAGCACGTACCCACCGAATTTCCTCGTAAAGTCATCGGGGATCCTGTCGGAATTTAAATAGTTTCAAATATTTACACGCGATTACAATGTGTACCTACACGTCAGATTCAATGAACAGCTGGACAGAGTGTGAGTGAAGGTATTTCTAGGTCGATCGAGTAGATGAACCATTTATATTCAAACGATTTTTAATTAAGATATAATCACGGACAGTTTGAAAGGTAAGTGAGATGTTAATGTTCTACGATGTTGTTGCGCCGAGGCGAACTATTAATTAGACGCATGTGGATTTCGACGTGCCTACTGTCCAAGTAGATCATAAGCTATCCCCCAGTTATGTCGGTTCGACCGTGGATCGTGCGAGTTTCTCCAGTCACCGTTTTTCCTTCAAAGGTTAACATCCACGCATCGAAACGTGCGCGCCATTTGTCAAAGAAACAAACCTGGAAAAATCTGTCGGACAAGACCGTCGAGTCAGTGTTTTCATCCTTAGATTACACGGCCGGCATGCAAACGCGGCGCGCGGTTCGCCGATAATAAATCGCCGGAGATCGGACGGTGCGTCTCCAGCTGACTCATTCATTCAGTGCTGTAAATAGGACGCTCTGCACGCTTCTAAAACGGTGTGTACCATCCAGCGGGTCCCGCCTGTCTGTTCCAGGGGAAATATGAAAAGCGTCGATAAATCGTCTGGTCTCGACCGTTCAAATATTCGAGCGTGAAAATCGTTTTGCCCGTTATTACGTAAATTACCAGTCGAAGGAAGACCCGCCTCCAAATGGTGCCCACAAATGCTCGCGGTATCATGAAATTGCACCGACAGGAAAAAAAAAATCGTTCAGGAATTCGCCCGTTCTGCCCCGACGTAATATGATATTATACAGTAATATCGGCAACGGAGTTACGGTAGCGGCCGTAAACCGGCCGTTCCACATTGTTTGCGATCCGCTAAAACGGTTGCGCCGCTACGAATAAAAATTCAGATAGACCTGGTACCCGCGAAGTGGCTGTCGGGTACCCGGTCAGCCTTGTCCGTTCCCTCTGGCTGGGTGGAATGCTCGGTCCAGCGGGAGGGCCTTGCGTACGGCCCACACGTCGTTCCACCCCGAAATATATTGAGCGACGAAAAGCGGCGGACCCCTTTTCGATCTGCCTATTACCCAGCACCTGGAATGCCGGGTGGAATCGCCAAAGGCGTGCACGCATACACAGCACGATCCTATCGAACGTGAGGCGAATATGCGTGAATCGCGAGACCGACATTCACCAGTGGTTCACTGATTCGAATGGAATAGTAATTAATTGCAAGAATTAGCGCTTGGGTCGCTGATTTAGGTAAATGTCCAAGATGAGGATTTGTCCTATTGCCGATGGGTCGACTTGCACCGGGTGTGCTGCGAAAAATGTGGACATTAGCTGGAAGGTACAGTGAATCCTTGATGAGTGTTTGAATGTTCAGGATGAGTTTTTGGCTCCTAGGCTCTGACAAGCAGAGGTACTCAAGTGAAACGCTGACCTTTTTAATTAGGTTTAGCAGAGTGACAGAGCTTGGAATGCTGAAGACAATGATATTTGTTTTAGTCGTATATTTTTTTTTTTTTATTTAATTTGAAGTATTTACAATCAATTCCTTCTACGGAATTGATAATGTGTATAAATATGTACGTGTTCGCTGTTATAATTTACACTGTCATTAGGTTCAGTCGTATATGGTCATTAGTTTATGAAATATTTAATATTCAGTGCCAAGGAGTCTTGGAACACTCATCGATGATTTACTGTATGAGTGGAGAACTAGTTAAAGGAAAGGATGAAAGAGATTAGTGGAAACATTGGTCGTATGAATTCTTTGTTCACAAGAAACAATCGCTTTTGTAGCGTAATTGTTACGTATTTATGTGCACCGTCTCGGTTTCTCACTCTGGGGCATTCAATGTAAGGTATCTGACAGTGGTGCCCGAACCTTGTCAGGATAGAAGCATGTATCGCCTATCAAAAATAGGTACTCGAGAGCTACATCCTCCATTGAAACAGTATTAAATTGTAAGTTATACAAATTATAAGTTAAACTGAAAAAATACCATATTGCGTGCGTATGTATAGTATATATCAAGTCCTTCATAAAATATTGTATAAGAATACAATACAGCAGTCAGTGTCTAAAAGAGCCGTAGGTATCTAACATTGAAGCTTGGGCAATCTGACAACGAAAGAGAAATTCTAACTGAAAGTATATTACTGAACCTTACGTAATACCTGCGACAAAGGAATACACGATACGTATTACAGAACTACCCGCACAGTTTAAGCGACCGATGAGACAATGATATACACGTACATACAAAGACGTATGTGTGTGTGCCTACTATTGCCCGCAGGCCGAACTTTTACACGATAAAAAAAAAATGTATTTAACAGGAAGCCGGCCTTGCCTCATACAGGGCTATCTATGGCGTGAATCGTAGATACGATTCATTCGGGTCCAAGTGTATAAATATACTCTCGGAGTTGTCCCCATTGGTCGAGCGTGATTTTTCCGTCCTCACAATTACGCTCGTTGGGAGCGGAACAAAAATACGTGTATACGCGTATACGTATAGACGGTACAGTTTATCGAGACCCCCAACGATATGGTCTGAAAAGCTTCAGGTTCACAATTTGAAAGCGACTTGCGCAAGCTCGCGGAGAATTTTAATGGCGTACAACCGTTTCACCGAGGCGAGGCCCTCACCGGGTGAATTAATTGCAAACGCTTGTACAGACTTGTCAAGAATGTTAAGTGTCTTCTTTTGCCGATACCTGTAATTGAGGGCATTACCGTGATCTCTAATGCTAGGTGGCCTTATTAAGTGCCCAGCCTCGCTTCGATCAATTTACTCCGGCCACTGCTTTATTAATATTTATGAGCGGCCGATCGTGTCATCGCTGGGAACCCGTGGTGACACGGGAAAACGATAAGTTTGGATCTGATGCGCATCTACATTTTACGCTGGATCTCGCCTGTCCTCGTCGTTGGATTGTCTTCATTTCAGATAATAGATCCCTCTTGCGTATACTTAAGGTTCTCTGAAAATGCTGATTCATTGTGTGTAAAATTCAATTGTAAAATTTCAAATTGAAATTATACATATCCGTATATAACACGGCATTTCCATAATATCGTGTCGTTCTAACACGGTTTGAGAATTGCGAAAACCCCGATTAATAGGTACAGTTTGGCTTTAACACGATTAAAGAATTGCGTGGAATAGTGTAGTTCTGTTTTTAAAACCTAGTCCTGTTTTTTCTAAGTATGTACATGCACTGCATGGTGTAACTATAAAACCACCTTAACATTTTCAGTCTTTATGTGCTTTTTTTCTAGGGAACATAATCTATCCTTTTCTGCAGGAACATTATACTTGGTTCGTTTTTATTGTAACTACAATACATAAAAAATGAAAATTTAAAGGTGGTTTTATGGTTGTGCCACGCAGTATATTAATTCCTAGTTTTGAATAACACGAATTAATACAGCGATTTCTTAGAACCTACAGTGATTCTTCGATGAATGCGACACGAGCAGTGGCGTTATTCCCACCATTGGAGGTTCCCCTCTGAAATCAATTCTAAACAGACTAAAAAGAAGCTAAGCAGAGGCTCCGCTTCAGATAAAAAACAAATTTATACGGGGCTCAAATCCATTTCGCCTTGCCATAAATGCTCCGAAGGGGACCCGAGTACGTCGCACTCAGCGCGACATTACTGTAATCACCGTGTTATACAAGGGTTACATGTAAATTAACGTGCAAAGTGTTGCAATCAGTAATCCACAACTTTTCACCAAATATGGTCATTTCCAAGAATACAAGAAATCTTTTTTCCTATGGCATTTTCCCAGCATGTCTAAACTATTTTTTTTTTTTTCATTAATTGAATACTCAGCCGCAGAAAATATTTTGCTCCTCTCGACAAAGTTATCAGGCCGCTTGCCGTTTGAACAGTGACTGGCGTGTGAAATACGCATTCGAAAGAAACCTGCGATCTACTTGCTTAATTATTCATCCGTGGTATATTGACGCAATGGAAACGAGGCGACTGGAAGAAATATCGTACTCCTTCATCCTTGCACGCATCCATGTGCATGCAGCGGCCATACCATTCGACGTCCTCGAGTGCGCCAGTCTCGCGCAGAAAATCTCATGCGTCTCCTATATCTCATTTCTCAACCTAAACGACGGAATTTACATTTTCCACGTGAATTCCAGAGAATTCTACCTCTGGAAAGCTTCGAGCGTCGTCGGTCGTGGCCGAAGAAATCGGTGGAATTCAGAAACGTGACGGCGTATCTCGCGTACACGCGCATTCATTCCACCTTTTGTAATCCTCTTATACATATATCGAATATTTTTCAAGGACGACGCACTGGATGCACGAACAGGTTATGAGCCCATACGGACAGTGATCGAATGATCCCGCAAAAACCACCGCTTCTGCGCGTTAATGAAACTATTTCGAGCGCAATTAATATTCTGAATCCCGGACAAACGCGATGCTCACACAACCCCCATCGATTACCAGTCCTGCTTACCATTCCGAATCAAAATGTTTATTTTTCCCGTCCACCGAAAACGTAATGCGACGCGTAATTAATTCCCCACAGGGAGGATTACTTACGGGCAGTTGTTACCGCGAAGAACTTCGAGAGACTTTAGATCGTCCAAGATTTTAAATTTAATTTTAATTCCAGTTCTGAACTGTAATAGAAAAATTTAAAAATCTGCAATACTTAGTTTCAATTTTTAATAGGATAAAAAGGGGTCTGTCATACTGCCTGGTCAATCATGGAATTATCTTAAAAGTTGGTGCGAATAACACAAATGAAAAAGAATTTCGAGAAATCTTTAGATCGTCTAA